AAAGGAAAAGCTTACTGAAATGATTGTGATGTGCAGCAGCATTGAGAATCCCTGATCTTACCAGTTTCCCCGGGGTTCAAGTGATTCTCCTGCCACAGCTTCCCAAGTAACTGGGATCACAGTTGTGCACCACCACACCCAGCTAATTTTTGAATTTTTTGTAGAGACGGGCTTTCACTATGTTGCTCAGGCTGGTCTGGAACTCCTGGGCTCAAATGATCTGCCTGCCTTGGCCACCCAAAGTGCTAGGATTATAGGCGTGAGTCACCTTGCCTGGCTGGCTGCCTTCGTCCATTCTTTTTTTGTTTTGTTTTTTTGGTTTTTTTTGTTTTTTTTTTTTTGAGACGGAGTCTTGCTCTGTCGCCAGGCTGGAGTGCAGTGGCGCAATCTCGGCTCACTGCAACCTCCGCCTCCTGGGTTCAAGCGGATTCTTCCGCCTCAGCCTCCCGAGTAGCTGGGACTACAGGCGTGTGCCACCACATCTGGCTAATTTTTGTATTTTTAGTAGACACAGGGTTTCATCATGGCAAGAATGGTCTTGATCTCTTGACCTCGTGATCCGCCCTTCTCAGCCTCCCAAAGTGCTGGGATTACAGGCGTGAGCCACCGCGCCCGGCCGGCATTCTTCTGTTTTTTAGTATCTGGCTAATTTCCAGTTTAGAAGTATTATAACTTGTGCTGTTACGAACCTTTTTAGTACATGTCTTCTGATGGCCTCATGTATGCATTCCTTTTTTTTTTTTTGAAATGGAGTCTCGCTCTGTCACCAGGCTGGAGTACAATAGTGCGATCTCAGCTCACTGCAACCTCCGCCTCCCGGGTTCAAGCCATTCTCCTGCCTCAGCCTCCCGAGTAGCTGGGACTGCAGGCGCGCATCACCACACCAAGCTAATTTCTGTATTTTTAGTACAGATGGGGTTTCACCACATTGGCCAGGATGGTCTTGATCTTTCGACCTCATGATCCACTCGCCTGGGCCTCCCAAAGTGCTTGAATTACAAGCATGAGCCACCACACCTGTCCTCCATGTATGCATTTCTGTAGGGCATATACCCGACAGAAAATGCTGGACCTGAGGAGACGTGTATGTTCAACTTTAGTAGCTGCTGCCAAGTGGTTTTCCACAGTGATGATTGCAATTTCCCTTCCCATCTGCAGTGCGTGAACTTTGCATGTCCTTGTTAACACATCTCACTTTTTCTTGTTACCATTTTGGTGGGGTGTAGAGGAGATTCAAGGAGTTTTCTGTAGACTTCAAGTTACAGACTTCTCTTTTTCTTTTGGAGACAGCCATAGAAAGCCAGCCAGTTTTCCCCATGAATGTGAACGAGAAGCAGTAGCCCAAATGGTTATTAGCAGCCAACTGCTACCAAATTAAAAAGAAAGAACTTGATTACATCATTAAGCTGCTGGATCAGCAACCCAATCCATTTCCTTACCGTTTAGACTGGTTTCACTGTCGTTTTTGTTATCTGTATCTGAATACATCTTTAGTGTTCTCTTCGTAAAGTGTGTAAGTCTTACAAAATCCTTGTGAAGGTGAGAGTTACAGTTTCCTTTATCCTGACGTGGAAACTGATTGTCCAGTGAAACTCAGTAATTCCCAAGACTGGGGAGTTAGCAAAGGGTAGAACCGGGGCTAGAATCAGGATTGCAGATCCCTGGCCTGTGCTTTTCCACCTTCGCTCTCCTGACAGGAAGTACAACTGTTATCTCTCATTTTGTGAAAATGGCCATGAGTCCTTTGATCACATAGCTGCATCTCTTCACTGATGCCAAATTATGTAGCAAATATGCAAACAGCCACACTGGCAAACAGGGGCAAACCATGTTTTGTAAACGGAGCTTTAGCAGCTGTGTTCCTTGCTTCGCCCCGTTATGAGAAAACTGCCAACCACATGAGGTGAGTCCCTGGTCCTCTAGGGAAAACAGAGCTGGTGCGTTTTACTCATAAATCACCAATAAGGAAATGAAGATGGTGAGGAGAGAAGGAGCCAAAATCGTAGCAGCAATTTCACCTTCCAGCTAGACAGATGCAGAGTTGTAACTAGCAGCTTCCCAACTTAGAAACCCAAGAGTATTTCACCTCGTTTTGTATAGCAACAATCCATTGATAGAAAATTTCAATGGAGCTGAAGACAGTTCAGTGATCTAAAACATCTTTTCACTATAAAACAGACTTTGTGATTCCGCCTAACTGCCCTGTCTGTACAAAACATTGTAAAGTACTCTGCAGTCAACTTGTGCTCATGGCAGGGGATGCAGAACCCATCACTAATCACTTCCAATCACTGCAAATCTGTCTTCAAGCACCAACTCAACTGAGGAAGCGGCTCCTGGAGCAAAGACTCAAATGCTTGCTGCAGGACGGGCAGCCAAACTGCTCATGTCACCTGCACCTGTGTAAAATCCTCCAGTGGCTTCACATTGCAATCCCAATGAAATCCACATTCCTTCCTCTGACCTTCAAGGCTCTTCACAGGCTGGCCCTGCCTATCTCTCTGACTACAGTGCTCCAGGCTTGCTGGTCTTCTGTCTATGCCTTGAACGTTTTATGTTTTTATGGCCTCAGGGACTTTGCAATTCTCCTTCCTCTTCTGGGACTTTTCTCCCGGCCTCCTTGTTTGGTTACCTCCTCATTTTTCAGTTCTCTGACAAATGTCACCTTCAAGATGGACCCCACCTGACTACCTTCTGTGTGGCAGCACCCTGTCACTCTCTCAGGTTTCTTGCTGTAAGCTCCAGGACAGCAGAGACCCTGTCTTGCTCACCGCTGTATTCGCAATGCCTAGAACAACAGCAGGAGTATAAAAGATGCTCAGTAACTACCAGGTGAACAAATTGGTCAAGAATAAAGATGGAGATTAACCACTGGGGTGTGTTCTCTTCTTGGCTACTTGCACTGCAATCATTCCACTTTCACTAGCTGTGCTGCCAAAGAAATATTCCCAGGAAAAGAAAGTACAGAGAAAGAAAAAAAGGCCAGGCATGGTGGTGGCTCATGCCTGTAACCTCAATACTTTGGGAGGCCAAGGTGGAAGCATCACTTGAACCCAGGAGTTTGAGACCAGTCTGGGCAATACAGGAAGATTCCATCTCTACGAAAAATACAAAAATTAGTCAGGTAATGGGGCAAGGGCCTTTGGTTCCCACCTACTCCGGAGGCTGAGGTAGAAGGTTTGCTTGAGCCAGGGTGGTAGATGCAGTGAGCCAAGATGGCTCCTCTGCACTCCAACCTGGGTGACAGGGCAAGACCCTGTCTCAAAAAATAGATAGATGGATAAGACAGAAAGATAGACAGATAGATTCGATACATAGATAGATAGATAGATAGATAGATAGATAGATAGATAGATGAAAAAAAAACACCACCACCAGAGTAAGGGACAGGGGTGGCGGAACCAGTAGAAAAGGAAATTGGACATAATCTTACACAAGAATGATATGAAACTCTGGGTTCTTTTCCCATACCCTCAGGTCTCTCAGGAGGCTGCATTAGATAGATTTCCAGGCTCGCCCAAAAGCTACATCACATTTTTTTACATTTTTTAAAAATGGTCTTTTTCACTCAACAACGATGACCACGGTCCCGCTGCGTTGCTGATCAGCCCGGGAGAAGGCATTAGGTTTGTGAACAGATGTGAGGATAAGTGTGACACATCTTTTTCTGGACATGTACCTATGATTATTAGCACAGGATGGGTCTTACAAAAATGACGTCCACCCGTTCCCCATTGCAGGGCAATACCCTCGCCATCCTGAGCACAGAGTGAGTAAATTATGATTGAACCTCAGCTTTCAGAGACCTTCTGGTTCGGGCTTCCCGTTCAACAGATGAGGAAGGTTGAGGTGTGGGGTTAGGCAGCTTCCTACAGACTCGCGATTGGGTCCTGTCCCGACACCGCCAATTTGGGTAAATTGGCCTCTGGTGGTGGACAGACTTTCCTTCCCCTCCGGAACCGCAGAGCGCAATGAGGAAGGGGCGGGCGCCAGCGCCAGGGTCTGCAGTTCCCACCGCCCTCCCTCAGGTCGCAGGAGAGGGAGACGGAGATGCACACAACCAAGTTCAACACCGCGGCTCCCAGCCGGGGTGTCCCTGCATGGCGTCCCGCGGTCCTCCCCGCCGCGCCCGTCCGCCCCGAGCCCTCGGCGGCGCCCCAGCCCCGGGGGCGTCCCGCGAAGCCCAGGGGCCCGGGGCGCTCGGAGCTGCGGCCAAGACCCTCCTCCAGACGCCGAAGCGCGCGCGGTCGCCTCCCCAGTCTCGGGTGCCTCAGGCCCGAATGGGGGCGGCGGGGCGGGCGCGGGGGGAGAACGACGCGGGGCGCGGGGAGGAGCCAGAACCCGCAGCTCTTTTCCCGAGAGGCGGGATCGTCAGCTAGGGTTTCTGCGGAACGGAAAACGACCCTTTGCCCGGGTCGCGGGGCTGCCCTGGACCCCGGAAACTGCGCGCCGCAGCCAGCACCCCTGCTCCCCGCCCCCTCCCCGGTCCCTCTCAGCCCCGCGCCCCGACCCCAGCCCCTTCCGTGGGCTCCGCGCCCAGCGGGCAGAGACAGCCGAGGGCGGGACCAGGCCAAGCCCGGGGAGCCGCCGGGGTCCCGCTGGGCACTGAGGCCCGGAAGACCCCGCCCGCCGCTCGCCGCCCGCGCCGCGCCCACCTGTAGTAGCGGTCATCCTTGAAGGGCGTGAGGTCCTCCTTGAGCTCGCGGTACGCCTCCTGCAATCGCCGGCACAGGTGCTTGAGCTCGCTGCAGAGCGGGGGCTCGAAGGCAGGGTAGTCGGCGTCCATGCCTCCCAGGCCCCGGCCCCGCCGCTCCGCCCTTTGTGTCGCCGCCAGCGCCCCCTCTCTCCTCCTGGCGCCGGGGATCCGGCTGCGGCGCGCTGGGCGGGACCGAGGAGGAGGAGCAGGTGCGGGGGAGGTGGGGAGGGGGCGCGCAGGAAGGAGACCTGGTGCGCTCAGGGCGCCGCCGCGAGCACGCTGGGAGCTGGGCCCGGCGCGGGTGGGGGCTGGGGGTCCCGGCCCTGCGCCCCACGCCCCACGGAGGGGGCCTGAATGTGGGAGGGTGCCGCGCCCATCCGCCTCCGCGCCCCTCCGCCGCCGCCCTGGGAGAGGCAGAAAGCGAGGGAGGAAGTGCAACGCAAGGTCGTCTGCCGCCCAGGACTGAAATCTCTGTGCCGCCATCGCCAGTGGCAGCGCTGGGAAGGGAAGACAGTGGAGGTGGGAGCATGGAGGAAAATAGGGCTTGGGGGCCGGACCGAGGGCCCTTTCCTGCTGGGAAGGTCAAGTCTGGAGCCGGCTACGGCGTTCAGCACCGCGGACAGCTCCCACGGGCGACTTTTAGCTTCTTGGGCTCCACTTGGCCTAATGCAGAAACAGTTAAAACTAAGCCCATCAGAGTTATAGTCATAATAAGTATTTTTCCAATGAAGTGTATCCAAGTGAGGTGCCTCTTCCCACATGTACTAAAACAACCAAAAAAAAAAAAAAAAGTCTAGGCAGAGGAGTTTCTCACTCTCTACAAGCTCAACACTAGTGTGCAAACTACAGACTTAACAAATTAACACGTCTTCGACAGAATGACTTCTCCAAAGCTTGGTGTGATCGCCTCTTGTGAATTTTTCCAATAATAGGTGGAGAAACAGTCGTTCCAGACGATGTTAGTGCATTTCCATCTGAACCCAGGGGAGGTTTCCCCGAAGATTGGTCCTGCCTGCACTAGGGAAGTCTCTTCTAGGGACAAAATCTATCCAGTTGAACCTACATAATTGTGGAATATCGATCCCAGGAATCTGTATGTGTCCAAACCCCTCAGGCAATTCTGATGACCACTCAGGTGCCAGTGGTCTCAGCATTCACGTGTTTCCTGCTGTCTGTGCCTATGCGGTCACTCCACCCACTCTTCCTTTCTCTGTATTTTTATTTCTTCTCTCCTTGACATTTTGGAACAGCTTTTCTATGCTAGCCAGGCCCCCCTATCAGGGTTTGCACAACTTCCCATAACTGCAGATCATCTTGCATTGCACACAGTTAAGTTTTAGCCTTAATTCATTAACATGAGCATTTGTGTTTAATCATCTCAGGATTTTTTTTTAAGAGTTCAGAATTTGGTAATACTCAAAATACAGTGCATAAAGAGGCACACTAAGAAGAAGAACTTCAAAGAACACACATGCAGATTTGTTTTCTGAAATGAGAGAGACTGTGAGTTCAGCATGTGCCATATTTTAAACATTGTATCATTGGCTACAGAGAGCTTATTTTTAGGAGGAATATAGGCCAATCTCCCAGATACATCAAAACTTAAAAATACTCTAGGGAGCCTTCCTTAGCTTCTCAAGCCTAGGATTTTTTCTCCTTCTTTTAAGTACAGTAGCCCCTGAAGGATAATACACATCTGGCTCCGGCACTGTGAGGTACTAATCTACTTTGTCAGTTCTTTTGTTACAAACAGCCAGAAATTTGAGATAAAACATGCCCCCCGCACACACACACAGTGGCTATACATGTTATGCACAGCTACTATACTGTAATTTTTTTGTACATTTTATTTCCCATAGAATTAATGGTTGTCATTTTTACCACTGATTTTTTTTTTTTTTTTTTTTTGAGACAGAGTCTAGCTCTGTCGCCCAGGCTGGTGTGCAAGTGCAAGGGCGTGATCTCAGCTCCCTACAACCTGTGCCTGCTGGGTTCAAGCGATTCTCCTGCCTCAGCCTCCAAAGTAATGGATTACAGGTACCCGCCATCACACCCAGCTAATTTTTGTATTTTTAGTAGAGACAGGATTTCACTGTGTTGGCCAGGCTGGTCTTGAACTCCTGACCTCGCAATCTGCCCACCTTGGCCTCCCAAAGTGCTGGGATTACATATTTGCTTGATTTTTAAATATACTTATTAATATAACCACAGATCCCCCACCAATTGTCTAATTTATCTCTTAAGATACTCAGATGCATGAGACATTCTGTCAATTTCACTTTTTGTGAATGACAGCTCTCCTGGGCCTTCTGACCAGCTGTGGACAAGTTATCCTCAAAGCCAATGCTTGGTTGCCTGTAGGGATCTCTGGGCCATCATCCTGGGACTTCTCTCCCCTCTGGTCTGCTTGAATCCCATATTTTCTATTTACTGGTAGGAAATATCTGATACAAGATTTTGAGAAAAGATGCATGGGATGCAAATTTTTTGAGGTTGTGGATGTAGGAAAATGTCATTCTTTTACACTTTCTTGATAGCTTCACTAGGAAGAAAAACTTTGGTTGGGAATAGTTTTTGTTTGCTTTGTTTTTGTTTTTGAGATGGAATCTCGCTCTGTCACCCAGGCTGGATTGCAATGGCGCAATCTCGACTCACTGAAACCTCTGGCTTCTTTAAGTGATTCTCCTGTCTCAGCCTCCCAAGTAGCTGGGATTACAGATGAGTGCCACCATGTGCTACTAATTTTTGTATTTTTAGTAGTTACAGGGTTTCACCATGTTGGCCAGGCTGGTCTCGAACTCCAGACCTCAAGTGATTGGCCTTGGCCTCCCAAAGTGCTGTGATTACAGACATGAATCACCATGCCCAGCAATTGGAGATAATTTACCTCTAAATTTTGTAGGTATTTTTCCATTGCCTCTTGGATTCTAGTATTGCTGTTGAGAAGTCCAAAGTCATTATAAATCCTGATTCACTTTATACAGACCAATTATTTTCCTCTCTGGAAGGGTATAAGAGTTTTCATTTTGTCCACTGCGTAATGACATTTCAAGATTGATTATGTTACACATTGGCGTAGACTTTTGTTCTGACACTCTAAATATTTCAGCTTGAAGACATTTTCTTGAATTGTTTATTTGATAATGTCCTTTCCTCTCGTATTGCTGTTGTCATGCTTATTAATTCTTTCCGGAACTCCTATTAGTTACATCCTGAATTTGTCCTCTAATTTCTTAACTAGTTTTGATTTGTTTTTTCTGTTTGTTCTAATTTTGTTATTTTCCAGTTCTTCTATTAAGATTTTCATTTCTACTATGATGCTTTTAATATCCAAGAGCTTTTATTAGTTCACTAAATAGTTCTGTTCTTGTTTCATGGATACAGCATCTTCTTTTCCTCTCTTTCAAGATTAATGATAATGTTAAAATATCTCCTCCCTTTGTAATTTATTTCCTCTAATTTGTTTTTTAATGATTGTGTTTCTATCCTTCTTGTTAGAAGTTTTCTTCAGATGTCGAGTATTGTGGTTGAATCCCCTATCTAGGAGTAGAGCACTAAAATGCTCAGAAGCTCCGTATATGTGTGTATGAGCGGGTGGGGGTGGTTGTCAACAGCAGGCTTTGTTGTAGGTAATATGGCTGAGCTATTTCCTTAGGGAACTCTTGGTATCAATATTGTTAGGTCTTTCCTCCTAGACTGGTGTCCAAAGGTCACCCACTTGGAATGTGACTGTGCGACTCCTCCCATCAATGGGCAGAATCTTGAACCTGAGCTGGTTTTGTACCTTTCTTGGACAAGTAAAATGGTTTGGAAATTACACCGTATATCTTCTGGTCCTAGGCTTAACAGGTATTATAGTCTGTTTCTGTGTAAAGAAGTGTGGATTTTCCTATTGGAGAGACCATGTGAAGAGACAGCCTGAGGATGAGGGGCTATATGGAGACCAGAGATGCCCCTGTCCATAGCCAGCACCAACTGCTGGACATGTGAGCAAGGCTATCATTAACGTTCCAGCCCCAGCCTGGATCTCAGCTGAAGGCAAGCACATGAGTCACACTAGGTGTAGAAAGTGAAGTAAATAAAGTTCCTCTTCAAAGTCTCTTAGCCTATTAAGAATAGATAGTAGTCTCTTTCTCTAGGTTATTCTACTCAAAGGCCTTTGTTACATCTGATAGCTAAAATAAAGAAATCGGTGTATTTTGTGTTCTTAATTCTTACATTTTAGCCTAGGTACCTGCCCTAACATGCCTCTATAAGCCTGGGCAACCCTTAGGTCATAGCTTCTTCCTCTTTCCTTAGTTACAAGTAGTTTTGCTTCTCTCAGCACTCCTCTTTTCCTTTGTTCTCCTCTGCCCTTACCTCTTTAGGAAAGTTTTAAGTTGTTAGCCAGTCAGGTATAGTCTAGAATGTGAGGTCTGGTTCCAGCCAATGGAATCAGGATACAGCAATAGGGCCAGATGCGTTAGACATAAATATGCCCATTCTTCCTTTGTTCAGTGCACTCTCGTGGCAAGACTGCTGGTGAGCAGTGCCCTTTCTGCAGAAAGTAAAAGAAAGCCTTGCTAAGAAACCTTTTGTCTGAATGCTGATTCTTCCCTGCGATGTCAGAAGATAAGCACTTATTCCCAAGAATTTGGTGACCTGTACAGGGAGGCATTCCCCTCTGTGGTGGTCTCTGGCCCTTTCTCGTGGGGAGGTATGCCCCACCACCTTGTTGTGGCATCCCCAGGGATAGGGAGCCAGGACCCACCCAGTGCGAGGAATAAACCCAGATTCTTAGCAACGTGGGTGAAAGAGAGACTTGCAGTGCCGGTGGCCAGGCAACTTCAGGCATGGGCCAAGGTAGGAAACGTTGCAAGAGGGTGACAGTATGTCCTTGGTGGTCAACTTCTGGAGGATGAATGTGTGTATGCACGTGTGTGCAAACGACCTTCAGAAGGGAAAAGGGAGGGAACAGATGAACCTTCCAGGGCTGGAAGGCAAGACATTCTTAGCTTGAGTGGTTGAGCCATCCAGGGGCAGAAAGGCAAGACATCCCTAGCTCAAGGGTTTGGGTCTTCCACTGGTTTCAGGAGGTTAAGCCCAACCAGTACCTGATATGGGTAATGCTTCCAGTAAAACAAAGACAGGAAGTAAAGCTGACTCCAGTGATCAGATTCCTCCTGACAGCCCTTT